GTCTGTCTGCCAAATGTCACCCACCTCCCTTCCAGGAACTGCTCTATAATGCATTTTGGGTCTTCCCTTTACTGTTTCAAAATCTAAGTTAAACTTCGTCCACTGTCACATTTGATTTTATCAGTCCAGGATACAACTCAGCCGTTGGCGTTTGTAGCAGCGATCAGAATAATGAAGTACCGATGGAGTTTCTTTCAGATGCAGCCCAATTGCTGTCCAAGGCACAGGGATCTCTCAGTACAGTGAGCACGGAAATATCCTTTTAGCTGCTGAGGTAGGAATACGTGCTGGATGAGGAGGACCATATGAAAACGCAGGAAACAAAGCTGGAAGACTTTGTGAATATGTGGTTGCCATCCTGTCCCCATCCCTACGCAGATGCTGCTGTGCAGGACTTGGTGCAGCGGTGGGTAGGTTCACGTGCTCATGCGCACACAGTGCCTGCCATCAGGGGAGAGGAGCAGATGAGGAATTTACAAACTTAGAGCACCTGCAACCTGGTTGCTTCTTCATGATTTAACCGTTATCAGTGAGATGCAGTCGACAGCTGTGATTTAGGGGAGTTCTGCCTGTCCTGCTGAGCCTAGCTAAGCCCTCCTTGTGCAGCAAGGAGTCACAGAAAATCCAGGGCACCAGCTGGTAGAACAGGATGGCAGTAGAGTGCTCCTTTCTAAGGATGAAGGCAAGATGGTGCTTGTAGCTGGTGTGCTAAATATCATCCTCCTGATTGTGGCCAGCTGCCCCCACACAACACCTGTGTAGCTAGGGACATGTATCTTACGATGTTGGACTCTGTGGGGCTCTGGAGCTGCTTTTCAGAACTGGAAAATGCCTATCTTAGCAACTGGCCCAGAAAGATGGAGGAACTTATTAATACTCTGTGTCCTGATACCCATTGCCACACACAGTGATTTTAATGAGTAATGGACTAGTAATGCATGTGCTGGCTTGTGGTTATTGTAAGTACCTTGGAACATGTTGTAATTGATAGTTAACAGGGCTTTATAGTGCCTGTTGTCCTTAATTTTTTTTTAATTTCTGAGGTGATGGGATTGAGAGTGAAATATTTTGTGGCTTTCATGTGGTAAGTTTTCCAAGTAACTCGCTGTGCTTGCTAACTTGGAGACACAGGCTCTCCTTTTATAGACTTACATAGATCACTTGCAGTTCCTTTAACTTCAGTAAAAGCTTTTGGTTTGATTGCAGTTTCCTGTCATCTTAAAAATGGGTAGGTAGTAAGGAGTGCTGAAAGAACTTCAGAATGTTTTCCCTTTTGTGCACTTACGTTCCTTATAACTTAAAAACACTGAAGGTAGATCTGCTCACAGCTTGATGAAAGTAACTGGCTGTCTCTATTAACTATCAAACAAGAAAGGGTGAAGTGGTAATAACTGCTGCCTCTGGTGCTTTTTTTGTCTTCCCTTTCCTTCCCACCTATTATGAGAAATTATATAGGGTTCAAGAGAGGGGATATTATCTGCAGTTACTAAAGGTGTTGATGTGCCAGGTAAGTACTGAGCATTTCCCCTTCTGTACATTGTGCCAGTTTTGGCAGCAGCTAGAAAAGGTGGAGAGGTAGGGGTTTGTGGTGTTCATGTTTCTGATTCAGCCTTGGAAGGGAACTTGTACTGCAAGATGAGGAAGGAGACCACCCAGAGGAGCAGGAGGCATGAGCTGAAACATATTACTACCTTGGTTTTCCAATTTCTTTTTCAGCAAGATCTGCCCAGCAAAGACAGGTACATTTTTAAGGTACCTGAATGAAAAAAGGTGGCCTGGAAGGGTTTCCTGATTCTGTGTAAAATAAATTTCCCTGGAGTGGGGTAAGAGATGGAAGGACACTGACTTCAGCATGAGCCACAGAGCATCTCTTCTCCCTTGATGTTATTTAAGAGTTATCACAGTGAAGAGGACAAATCTTAATAACATACATCATGCAGTGGAGAAGGTCATTGATTCATCACCACTGACACAGAGTATTCACTAGTGTCTCTGTCCAAAACAGCCATCAGTCCCTTATGAGACTTCCACGGAAAGATATTTGAAAGGGTAGAAACAGGCTTGTGTTTTTTGAGTGCTGTCCAACAAAGGAAATAAGTATTTTAAATATGAAGTCCCAATTTCATTTTTCAGTATTCTTCCACTGTAGTTCATGAAGACTGAAAATCATTAACAGCACATCAGAGAAATTATTCTGTTGCATGAGTATATGGCTAAGCAAGCGCAGGTAAAATTCATAAGAAAACGCCAGCTCTTGACTGGCAGCCGGTTAGGGAGCAAGGGAAGCCTGAAAAGAACAGGAGAGCCTTCTATTTACTTGCCATCTTCTACTAGAATCTCCTTTGTACCAGACTTCCTCAAGACAGCTGCAGGTATTGCTGGCAGTCCTCAGAGATTGTACCTCTGTGAGCAGCAGTTGCCTGTTCTGTTAGGAGCTTCTTCATGTGTCCAGCAGAGCAGGGCGCTGCACTGACTGTTCCAAGGTCGCTTGTGAAGCCCTGCCCAGGATCGTCTTCTTCCTCTCTTCATGATTAGAAGAATGGAGCAGGGGAAGCCAGTGCATCTGCTGCTCAACCTGGTTGAGCCCCATGGATTGCCAGACTCTTGGGGTCTTTTGCTTTTGAGGTGTTTGGGATGTTTGTCATGCGGTGACTTGGCCTTGGGTCTGCCCAGGGGAGCTGGCTCCTGATGGTATAATGCAGAATGCTCCTGCTGCGACAGCTGGAATCAAAGGGCTTGAAACGTCTTTTCCAGGTAGCCACAAAAATATGTAAGTTTGGTACTTTGGGAATGTGTTCTCGTCTGGTAGAGCAAGGGTTAGGCAGCAATGTGAAGCTACAAAGGGCTGTGCCAGCAGCCTGCTTTAGCCTGCTGGGAAAATGAGGTGTTAAATACCAAATGGGGTGCAGTAAACACTGTTCAGCTTCTGGCGTGAAGACAGGGGACCTTGCAGAAGACCCAGAAAATAAACAGAGAACTGTGGGAGGACTGTGTGCGAAGAAGCTGTACAACCACAATACAGACTGATCATGTGAAAATGCAAGCATCAGTGGACAGAAATATGTACCTGGAACTAGGGCAAAGCACGTAAATCCAGACTACCGTCATCTCAGGAGAGCAGCACAGAAGCTTTCAGTGTGGATGAAGGGTGGCAACAGGCTTGCATCAGTGGCAGCTGTTACCACATATGCAGCCTTCAGCTTTGGGAACTTGTTTTTTTCTTATTGAAAATGGATGCAACTTCCCTTTAATTTTTATTTTATGTATTGTACTCTGTAAGATGAGGCAACATCTCCCCTGTTAAGTGTTGCGTTCTTTTGAAACAGTATTGTAAAACGCTGTTTGTGAGGATAGGCGTGTGCTGATTTTTTTTTTTTACGAGAATTGGATCTTTTTTGTTGAAACTGTAAGTAGGCTTCATTTCTGGTTATAAGGCTGGTAAAGATATTGAGATCTAAGGACCTAAGGTTTCTGAATCAAAATGAAATACTATTGAACAATAGAAGTTACATTAAGTTTGAATAAAAAGATCCCCAGAAAACTAGGCACTGTTACTCGATGCTTCTGTTTCTTTAGTACCCCCCCCCCTTACTTTTCAAAGGGACTGGTAAAATAATGCAAAATTGAAAGTTTACTGATTTAATATGTTTCAGAATTTGCTGACAGCTAATTAATGTTTATGTAGTTATTTTGGTTTATATTATCAGCTAATCATATATTATTTGCATGCCATTTAAACATTTTCACAACAGAATTCAAAGATGTAAAATCACAGCAAACAAACACTTTTAAAAATTATTATTTCTGAAGTTGCTCGGGGTCAGTTGTGAGCCTAGTAAATTTGAAATTGCGACTAAATATCAAAAATTGCTACAAAGGTATAAAGTATGTTAAGTGCCAGAAGGTAAGAGGGTTTAGTCTGAGGTACTCGGCAGAGCTGGTAGGACTGTCCCGAATCACTTTTTTATGTTGGATTTCTTTGGCATCATGCAAAGCGCATGGTCGGTGACCCGTGAAGGTGCTCTGCCACAGGATGGTTGGTTCTCCATTAATGAATCTTGCTCCAGTGAGGTGCTTTCTTCACAACCCACAACAACGAAGTTTTTGGGGAAGATAGACTGAATCGCCATCCGAAGAAGCCCACCAACAGGGCACACGGCCAGATGAGCCTGTAGCATGTCAGTCTTAGCTCTCTGTTTGTGGGCAGAATCAGCCATGGCTTTGGAGGTGCCTTAACAAACTCCTGGGCAGGAATCATCTCCTAGTGTAGGAATTTTGTCTGTTAATTTGCTCTTCTGGATGACAAAACTTCTCTGTAACTTGTGTCAAGATTCATTCTGCACTATTATCTCCATGCTAGCAACCACAGGCAGTCTTCTGAAAAGAGAGCACGAGCTGTCGCCTGTTCTCATTTATCGTTGCTGTTTCTGGAATATATTCCCTTCTCTTGTTTTGATTATCCAAGGTTTTCTGAAGCAAATATCTCTAAGACTACAAGAACCCTTAACCTTCTGAAAAAAATGCAGTGGAGTGCTGAGTAGAATAATGAAAATGTGTTTGTGTCCTCCTTGAATCGGTTTATGCTGACAGGCTGACTGAAACAAAGTTTATTTTCTTGCTTAAAAATCCTTTATCTTTACGAATGATTGTAAAAGTCAATACATTTTAATTGTTAACTATGAACTTCAACTAACAATACTTTAAACAGCATGCAGGGTTTGCTAACTGCTCCTTTATTACGTAGATATCCTTTCTTGAAGGTGTAGGTATTATTCCATGCCAGTGTATCTGCATGTGTGTACGTGACGGAGGGGAGCAGTGCAGCTGGGTGGCTGATGTGGTTACAGGGTATTGTTTTGTGTAGTCAAAGAGCTCATCTCCTTCTCTCCTTCATTGCAGTTTTACATCCTTGACTGTCCCTCTGTTTCCTGAAGATGAGGAAAATGATTGCATACTTCTTTCTGCTCTTTGGACATGCTCTGCTTTCCACTGTCTCTATCATGGCAAAAGATCTCCCTGGAGGGCATTTCACCCGAAGAAGGGACGTTAGCTCACACTCTCTACTAGGTAAGTTACAAAAAAACCTGAACAACACCACCAAGGGCTGTCTCAAATACCAATTATAAAAGGCATGAGAAGCTGTCCAAACCTTGGATGAGTTAGTTTATGATAAAAAACTCTACTCTGCTCTTGTGAGACTCCATCTGGAGTACTGTGTTCAGGTCTGGTGTCCCCAGCACAAGAGCATGGAGCTCTTGGGACAGGTCCCGAGAAGGGCCACAAAGATGATCAGAGGGCTGGAGCACCTCTCCTATGAAGAAAGGTTGAGGGAACTGGGCTTGCTTAGCTTGGAGAAGAGAAGGCTCCGAGGAGACCTCATTGTGGCCTTCCAGTACTTGAAGGGAGCCTATAAACAGGAGGGGGAGCGACTGTTACAGGGGCTGATAGTGATAGGACAAGAGGGAATGGTTTTAAACTAAGAGAGGGGAGATTTAGGTTGGATATTAGGTGGAAATTTTTCACTGTGTGGGTGGTGAGGCAGTGGCCCAGGTTGCCCAGAGAAGCTGTGGATGCCCCATCCTTGGAGGGGTTCAAGGCCAGGCTGGATGGGGCCCTGGGCAGCCTGCTCTAGGGGTTGGCAACCCTGCCCACAGCAGGGGGGTGGAACTAGATGATCTTTAAGGTCCTTTTCAACCCAGGGCATTCTATGGTTCTATGATTCATTCTATGAAAAGGGAGATTACCATTTTGCAAGCAGGAACATGAAAAAGTCTGTTGACCAGTTAGCAGCTGTTGAAAGGTGTTCACTTTTGGAGGACTAGATCTAGTTTATATAAATGATATGAAATAAATACTTGCTACAGGATTGTTGTCTTGGGAAAAAGAGCTTATTTTTCACTGTTTAGAGAAAATACATATTGGTCCATGGAGGTTCTGTCAAAGCTGCCTTTTACCATGCCAGCAAGTTTTAGCTGTCTATATGATATGCTGTGCATGATGATTGAATGGAAATCGGTGGCTATTGAAATGAGGCATGTCAATACGCTACTTGATGTTAATCCCTTCATTTTGTCAGGTTAATTTAATTTATAATGAGTAGCTCATTTTTCCACTTTTGCCAAAAATCCAAGGGCAGAATCTAGCAGTTTTAGCTTGTGGCTGTCATATTTTAAAACATAAGGTTCATCTCTCTCTTGTTGATCATTACCTGTGCGTCATCAAACAGTTTGCTGGTCAGCTTCTTCATCTCCTAACAGCTTATCTGCTAACTAAAAGGTGTCACATTTCTCAGCTTGCCTTTTTCTTCTATGATTTTAAAAATTGCTTTTATAGCCTCTTTTTCTAATTTTAAATAGTGGATAATATAAGAATTATCACACAATATCAATCAAAATGTTGAGATTAAAAGATTTCTTTCTTCTTTCAAAAGCCAAGCAATTGTGATCCCTGCAATTTGCAAAATTCTGGATCTCTGTTCAGTTTGGTGTGTGCAGGATGCAAACAATTCTGGCAGCTCTGGCTGAAAGAACCTCTTCAAGACATTAAATGATGCAAGAAAGTTGGGACTTTCTCTGGTCCAGCCCATAAAATGACGTGGCAGTTTGGAGTCAGACTCCTGGGCCCTGCATTCTGTTACAATAAATTAGGTCACTTGCTTCAAATCCAGCAGCACATATAAACAGTGGCATGGTTAAAACGTGCCTCTCTGTAAAGAACAGAATGTGTGAAATGCATGCCACTCTGCTGGAAAGCCGTAGTGTTCCTTAAATGACATGAGAAAGAATGGGGCCAAACCATGATCTCAGTGACATGAAGTCTTCTGACTTAATAAAATCACTCCAGAATTACAGCAATTTCACAGGGTTCCCATTCTATAGAATATGTATATTATAAATAGTGGTGGCGATGACAGTTGCTGCTGCTGTGGAAAGACTTGGTTGGCAGGCAAAAGTGAGCCATAGAGCTGCAAAGAACCAGCAGATACCTGGAGAAGTAATGAAAGTTTAGGTTGGGTTTTTTTTGGGGGGTGGAGGTTATGTATGTTTTTAGGACTGAAATGAAGGATTATGCTGTGTAAATATTAGTAGCATTAAAATTTTTTTTTTCCTTTTTTCTTCATTTTACCAGTTTTTAAAACAAAAGTGCACTACTGCGCTGTTTAATGGTAAAATGCTAGTAGTGTCCATGTACAGAAGTAAAAGCCCTTGCTCCAGGAAACTGACAACATAAATAAGCAAAATGGAATGGAGAAAAAATCCTGTGGGATTGTGCACATAGAGATAAAACTACTTTGGGATCCAGCTTTAGGGGAATTTAACTTTTTGGCAGCCATGCACTAATACTTCATGGATTTCTTAGTTATCTTGTTAGGGCTAATAACCTGTATGTTTTAACAAAGGTTTCAGAAGGAATGAGCTATGTATTTTCTGTGTTTTTCTTATCCCAGTCTTTCTGCTAAACCTCACTGTGTATTATTTTAATTTGGCAGATCTTAGCATCGCTTATTGTTGTTTAAAATTATTATGGCTATAGCTAATAATTTCCATTAAAGACCTGAAATCTTTTGTGCAAGGATCGATTGGACATAAAGTTTTTGGAACTCTGTGTGGCCCTTGAAAGCCAAACTGTTTTGCAGGTTTTTCTTTCTTTAAACACTGAATGAAACCTCAAAGTATTTCAAACTTGTCAATTGTGCCAATTTAATTAAATTTGTTAACATTTTCTTAAATCTTTCTTGCAGCATATTAGTTGTAGAAGATGTGTAGTTGCTTTAGAGATCAAAAATATGCATGTATTTATCATAATAAAAACATTTTAATTAGATCCTGCAAGATCTTGGGAAATAACAGAGAGAAATAGGATGGTCCATTTGTTTTTCCTGTAGCAGAGGGCGGTTGCCTCTCCCCTTACGTGACGTGAACTAAATTTTGCCTTCTCTTTCCCCTCATCAGTAATTTGACCCTGAGTATTGGATCTTTGGCTTTATCCTGATTCCTTAAAGGAAATTAATCTTTTATTTTAGAATCTTCTCTTTTAAAGTCTCTGATGAGTTTTCACTTAGCTCTCTGACAAAATCATTTTTTTGAGTGCAGCTGCTTTGTTAGATTACACACAGATCGCTGAAACCAGTTTGCCAGCTTAGCATTGCTTTTTTTGGATACTAAAGCAAAACAGTAATGGAAATACACTTGGCTACGGGGTTTTAAAGATAAAATTATGTCTGTTACATTAGCTAATTCCATTCAGATATAACTGAAATGGACTTCTGCACCGAAACAGACTGATGAAGAGCTGTGTCAGTTCTTCAGAGCTGTGATTTCCATGCTGTGGTTTCAAGGCCACAGTCAGAGGTCCACAGCAGCTTTCAGCAGGTTCCATGTTCGGAAGCAACACATACCCAGTCCTTGCAAGATGTAGTTTTTTTGGTGTTTGATGTTGTGGGTTTTTTTGGTGGAGCGGATTTGGGACTTGTATCCTACTGCATTAGAATAATTTATAATAAAAAAAAAAAGGCAAAGCAAAATTTTGAAATTGTGGAAAAACCACAAGTTTTTGTGTTGTTTTTTTTTTTTTCTTGGTGAACTCTTTTTTTGTAAACTGGGCATGTATTTTGTGTCACATGGACACATTTATTTGGAGAGCTCTGAAGTAGATGCATGGGAATAATTTGATAAGCTGCAGAATAATATTCTAAGCAGTAACATTCGTTCTGTTCCTCAGGAATATAAAACATGCACCTACCTGTTTTTGAAAATAACTATTTATGTGAGGAGAAAAACTAATTTAGGGGGCATTCCTTTAGGTACTACATAATACCAGAAGAAAGAAACTACAAGAGATTAACTGATACTGCAAAAAATTGAAACAGAGAGGGGAAAGGAGGCCAAGAAGGAAATGTACTTGGCTCCTGTTCAGTAGAAACTGCTGCTAGACGCAGATGTCCCTGTCTGTGTTAAATTGTATTTTGCAACAAAACATATAATGATGTTTCTCTTGGTTGTATATATATGATTCTACTAATAATATGAAGGGAAGTAATATGAAGTGCACAGAGTGCTCACTAAATTTATGAATCACTCACTACAGTCAGTTAAAATTATTCCAAACATTCTTATGTACAACCCAGTTCTTAAACTTGGGTGTACGTAACTTTAGGGCTCAAGAGCGTTATCAGGTTAACCATTCTGGGTTAAATATTGGTTCTGACTACAGGGTCCTCCAGCTTGCCTTGTCGCCACTGAATGCTGTTTGTTTTATTAGAAGTTATTTTTTCTTCAATTAGAATTGAAGAGAGTCACTCCTGAAGTTTAATTGTCTTGCAGTATTTTCAGTTACAGAATGACTGTAAGTGACAAAACAGAAATGATATCTTATGGATTTATCCAAACTAAGCATTTTCAGCCAAGAAATAGAACCACTAGAAACTGAATAGCAGCTTTTGGGGGTTTGGTATGGAAAGTAGTGTCAAAGAGATCACAAAACTCAACCCTTGTTTTTTGGGAGAATTCAGAAGTTGTTTGGGGTTGGAACTCCATGATCTTTAGGGTCCTTTCCAACCCTAACCATTCTATGATTCTATGATTTCTTAAATTTTAGCTGCAAATCAGAGGGGAAAATATGCGACAAAAGTGAGTCTTGCCCATGATGCTTCTGTGGAGTGCAGATAAGATCTCGGTTTAGTTTTGGTTGGATTCATTGTACATTGATACACTAAGAGCTGTCCAGAGATCTCTAAATACTGCTAATGTGGATTTTCATGGGGTGGTGACTGCTGCAAGCAACTCATTCATGGCCTCAGCATGTGTGTGTATGTGTTATTTCCTCACATGAATGCAACCCTGACAAGTTTTTTTTTATCCTCAGACAAGTAGACTCCTTATAATTGAAATCTGCTTTGCAATTGAAGGCAGAGTTGTGTCATGATAACCACATCGTGTTTGACATACTATGCTGGTATAGTATTTGAGGAGATCACAGCTACTCCAGGCAGTAGACAAAGGTAGGAAGAGATTGCAATTGACATCTTTTGAATTATCACATATTTAGTTAAAATATAAGCAAAATCA